ATTTAACAGGCATGTTTCTTTAACTATGTTTTTATATGCAAAAGATTACTTTATATATATTATCTATTTGAATACCCAAGAGGAACAAGCCCAATGAAAGAAAAGTGGGTCTTAAATACCAATCCAGGTACTGAACTTTTGTGCTTTGCTAAGTTATATGCCATGTTGGAGTTGTTTTTCCAAAAGGAGAAATTAAAATCCAACTCAGCTGCAAATAAAGAACGAAAAAAGTAAATCTCAACTTTGTTTAACTGTGTCTTTGCAATGGTGAAACCCTTCTTAGACTAGAGGCAAAAAGTAGAACATGGAGCAAGTATATTCTAGCCTTTTCAGTTCCAAGTATTGCCTAACAAAAGAGTTCTACAGAAAATGTTAAAGCAAACTACAAACTTTCTGGAAAAATGGTTTTTCCCCTTAAAACTAAGAAGAGCTGGTCTGGCAGAGTAGTTCACGACAAAAAGATGTTTTAAGAGAAGACCCCTCTATGCAAATTCTGGACAAGTTGTTAAGACAAACATCAAATAACTGGGAAAAGGAATGGTAATGACAACAAAACGTGGTATGGGGGACAGGAAGGGGCAGCAGCAGCACTCTGTTTCAAAGAATGAGAATTGTAACTGACTGAGAGACTTGCTTCAGCTTCATGTCTTGTCTGTCCACTTGTGAGAACTGTGCCAGTACAGGGTGCTCTAACTGACCTTGTGGGAAAGTCCTCCCTTTGTGCCTTATGGGCTTCTCCGGTGCACAGGTAGCTTCAATGAGGAAGAGTCGTCTTGTTGCCCCGTAGAGGACTAGTAGTCAGTCCAATAATCTTATCTTCTGCCCTATGTAAATATGGTAGATCTTAATAGTCCTAAGGATATCCACAAAGTGGATTTTAGGGCTATGGATTAAAAAAGCGAAACTCTCTTGACAAAGAGAGCACCCTAAGTTGGTGGTAAGGAGGATAAGTTTCTGTCAGAAACCACTTTGCATTTGTGGAGCTGAAGTGCTTCCATCACAGCACCTGGAGTAGTGAACTCACTTGCCATTATCAAATGCCTGCTCCTGCTCATATGTGGCCTCAAAGTTCAAGCCTTCAATCACTTATATAACAAGGGACACCTAAATGGCTACATGGCATTTTCAAAAGCCAGTAAATCTTAATGAAATCTCAAGGTTTAAGATAATCTATAATGGCATACTCAATTTTTCAAGATGGACCTGACACAGTTTTCTCTCTGAATCAAGTCTTCTCTCCTTCCTACATATCTCACCAGGAAAATCCCTATTCTTTCATAATCTAAACACAATGCAGCTTTTATTACTTAAACAAAAGTTTAATTAAATTCCATCATGTCATCGTTACAATTAGGATTATAGCTAAGCAATTCGGGACATCTTTTATCTCTACCCAGAAATTACCTGTTTCTAGTCAGGCCAAAGCCATTTTACTGCTCAACTTGGATCCCAGACAGTTAGGAAAGCTAGCTAGGTTTTGTCCCTGAGAGCCAATCCAACTATTTAAGTGATATGAATGATGATACAACAAAGAGCTTTCCTGATTAATTTGATTTCTGACACCCATATCTTGCTCTTAAGAGTTGACCCCTCACATGAAAAATACATTACAGACAGTCTTGCAAAAGGGTGGGTGAAACTTTCCTAAAACTAATGTAACATCAGTTAACTCATATATGTAGAAATTGACTTCTGAATCACAGAGGTAATTTCTGAACTTAAATAGCAAATACTAAAGCTCACGACAGTATATTTTAAAAATCATCCATTTCCTACTTTTTACCATTTGCTCCATGTTGTAGAGAAAGCCAATACATGTAAATTTTTGAAATGGTGTGTTAAGGAAAAATAAAAGGAGACCAGAAAGGGAAAAAAAATCCCACTGTTTGTGCTGCTAGTTCTCTAACTCAGTCTAGCAAAAACTGGAGTCTGGCCCTCAAGAAAACCCACAAAAAAACAAAGACCATTGAACAGTTCCACAGAAGAAAATAAATGAGTATTACCTGTAAGTCCAGTATAATAAACTCAAACAGTACCATATGAGCTAGTGATCAGATATGGACACAGAACAGGATGGAAGAAGCAGAGCCAAGAAAACTAGAAGTAGGCCCTTTCTTTCATTCCTAAAAACCATGCAAAGAATAACAGCACAATCAACACAAAATGAAAAATACTCAAAGAATCAGAAGAAAAGGACACTAAGGATTAAAACAAGTATCTTTCAATTCAATAAAGGCTAAGTTAAAAGATGAGAATGCCCTTGTGAACAAATGCCAAAGACAAAATGGAAAAGCACATTAATAGTGCACAGTGAACCAGTTACTGGAACGCCACAGAAAACCAAGGAAAAGTAGACAGGGAAGAGCATGTTGTTGCAACAGAAAACATGGTCAACACATATGTGAGGCATTCACCTTCTGTGAACTCAGAAGTTAATCACCAAGTTAAATGAATGCTATATGGTGGGACCAAGGCAACAACATACGTTTACTCTGCAAGACATTATGGAACACTGCAGATTAAAAAAAAAAAAAGTTGCCAATAACCAAATTAAATTCTACAGCCCAACTCTAAAAGGTAATGCAATACTTGGAAGCATCTAGATGATAAATAAACCTTGAGATTATCAAATGAAGGATGTGGTTTTAACATATTTTAAGAAAACACCAGATAAACTGTCGTTCTCAAAAAATCAGAGCAGGAGAGGGGGAAATGCTTGTCTCCTACTGAATGTAGTTCATCTTAAGTGAAAAGGGGTACAGCCTGAAATGGAACTCTGCCTATGTCTGCAGTGAATGAGGAGACGAGTGTGAAAACAGCCTCTAAATGAATTAAATTATCACATAAACTAACCTTTCTCCTTGGATTTTCTATCTTGTTCTCTGTCCCGACTTTTGCTCCTATGCTTATATGATTTTCGATCCCGGCTTTTTGATCTTCTACGATCCCGACTACGAGATCTATGCTTTCTTTCTGATCGATCATGGCTTCTGCTTCTTCGTCGGTCTCTACTTCTTAATAATTAAAACAAAAGGAAAGCAACTTCAGTTGGTATTACCTTGAAGAATTATATACTGTTGGATAATTAACAAGATCAAGCAAAACTTACCCTTAAAAGACAAATGAATAAAATCTACTATTAACAGTAGAGATCTTAAGTAGTGAAAATTATTGCAAATCTCTCTAGCTTCAATTTTTCAAATACTGCTAAGATAGTTATCACTGAACTCTGCTAAGGCTCTTCTTCTTCAATCATAACTAATTAAAACAGTAAAATTATTCCATGTTTTTAAAGAATTAATTACATGACATTTTTGTTCTTGCATTATGCTTGACATTTTTCAAAGCAAAAAAGAAGTAGGTAGCCTTACCCAAAATAACTTACAATTTAACTGTCATCTTAGAATTAATGAGAAGAGAAGAAGCACTTAAGAGACTGTGTGGTACACTGACTTCCTCTAAAACTGTATCAAACCTCCTCAGACTGGTGGGGAAATAGCAAAGCTGCCTTGAAGATGGACTCATTCACTGATGCTAGTGCTTCATGATATTAAAGAACTTCCCAAGTACCAAGGAATAACACTAGTGATTCCTACAGTTCACTGCACTCACTAGGACTAGGTGCTGTCTTACGGGTTCTATATACCTGCTTCTCCGCCTTTCTCTACTTCGTGATCTTTTGTGGTCCCGAGACCTGCTGCATCTTCGGTCAGAAGTTCGGCTTGAGTGCCTACTTCGTGAACGACTTCTCTTTCTTCTCTCTCTGTCTCGGGCCCTTTCTTTTTCTCTTTCTTCCTCTTCTCTTCGTCTTTTCCTTTCTCTTTCTTCCCTTTCTCTCTCCCGCTCTTTTTCTCTTTCTTCTCGTTCTTGCTTCTCCTTTTTTAAACGCTCGTCACGATCAGGTTCTTCGGTTCTTTTTCTTAACCTTTCCTAAGGACATCAAGTTTGATTTTTATAGAACTGTAACCTTAAAAACAGCGTCAAACAATGGTTACCTAAGTGTAAACTGACTTACGGCATCTGTAAACCGACTTACGGAATTTGATGCCCTAAAAGGGAAATGTAGAAATTCCAACACCACATATGTACACAAGATATCAAAATCTGACAAAATTTTTTATCCCAAATTCCTGGCACTGAAGAATGAAGAAAATACAGTGCTTTGGTAATCCCTAATGAATAGCAAAACTTTACAAGGATTATCATGACTTCAAACACCATACATCAGCAAAATACCAAGGTTTAATTCTCTATGTGATCCATTTATAGCTATATTAAAATACAGTATTAGCTATAGCTAAAGTGTATGTTTGGAAGAACACTTACTTTTAATTCTTCTACAGTAGCTTTAATTTTGGCATAGCCCATGTGCTGTTTTCCCATCAAATGGTCATCTACCCGGGACTGGGCATCTCCTACTATCAGAAAGGCTCCACACACTTCACAGACTTCCATTTGTTTTTCTTGGGCAGCAAAACTTTCAATTGTCTGAAATGACAAGTCAAATTATTAGTCAACAGGTTAAATGTGTGGCCTCCATATTAAAAATATTTATCAGAATCATTAAGGAACTGACTTCTTGAGCATAATCTGTACATATCCTGTTCATTATTTAGGAACCAATGACCAAAACATGTGTTATATTCTCTAACTAAAGTAGTTAACAAAAACACACTTTTTAGAATAAATCGATTTTGAACTAAGGTAAATATATACTGAGTAATTTATTGTAACAAGAAATAAGTAAAACACAGGCCCAAATGAGTGCTTATGATCTAAGGCAGGAGTTGGCAACCCAGCAGCTATAGGCCTGGTTTTATAAATAAAATTTTACTGGAACAGCCACACCCACCTGTTTATATATTGTCAAAAGCTGCTTTCATAACATAAAGGAAAAGCTTAGTGGCTGGAGGGGACCTAATGGCCTGCAAACTAAATATTTACCATATGGACCTGTAAGATAAAGTTCACTGGCTCTCAATTTAGGGTATTAAAAGTCATTTACAAGGGTTCTAAAACAGGAACACAGGTATACCTAAAAAAGTATTACAAGTTTGGTTCTAACCAACCCCTTTAATAAAGCAAACACTGTAATGAAATGAGTCAAATTTCTGGTTTTCCAGTGCATATTAAAGTTGTGTTTATACTATACTGTAGTATATTAAGCATGCAATAGCAGTTTATCTAAAAAAAAGTACATATACTTAAAAAAAATACTATGTTGCTAAAAAATGCTAATCATCTGAGCTTTCAGCAAGTCACTGATCAATGAACTACTTATTACAGATCACTATAACAAACATAGTAACAATGAAGTTTTAAATATTTTGAGAATTACCAAAATATGACGGTCACAAAGTGAGCAAACACTGCTGGGAAAATTCCACCAGTAAATTTGCTAGTCACAAGATTGTCACAAACCTGCAACGTGAAAAAACTGCCTATCTGAAGGATAATAAAATGAGGTATGCCTGCAGGTCCTACCAATTCGGTTAACAGCCTTGGAAAATCAAAACAAGGCTGCTACTCACCGAGGTTGTAGATCTAAGCAACTCTCTCTCTTCTTTTAACTGTTCAACTAATTTCATCATTCCCTGGGCTTCTTCTACTTTTCCTTCAGATCCTAATTCTTCAATCTAAAGGGGATTAAAACAAAACACAGTTAACGACTTCCAACCAAACTATCCAATTATTTTTCTTTTTTTACCCCAAGCTTTATTAGCGTTTAGTGGTTGGTTTGTGTCTTTTTGTTTGGTTTATTTACTGAATTCTCCAGGTTTAATTTACCCTTTTTATTTTTTACAGGATTAATAAAGTATACTTGACATGCAATACACTGAATTTTTAAGGGACAATTTAAGTTTTCACACCAATGAAACCAACACCATCATCTAAATAATGAACACACACCCATTACCCCAGAAGTTTCCTCATGCCTCCTCCTAAGTACACCTCCCTGCAACCACTGATATCCTTTGTGTCACTATAGATTAGTTTGCATTTTCTAGAATTTTATATAAATGGAAACAGGCACTTTTCATTCCTTTTTTGGTCTGGCTTCTTTCAATCACAGCCTCATTATCTTAATATTCATTCACAGTGTTACATGTAGTTAATTTCTATTTTATTACTAGTATTCCATGGACGACACATCACAATATGTTCAATCCATTCACCTGATAAACATTTGAGTTGTTTCCAGTTCAAGGCTTTTAACTTATTATAAATGAATAAGGTTTCTATGAACACTGGTATACAACTCTTTGTGTAAACAAGTATTTTCATCTCTCTTAGGCAGCTATTATCTAGGAGTAGAATGGCATGGTGTATCTTTTAACTTTTTAAGAAACATTCTCTTCCAAAGTGTTTGCATGGTTGCACCATTTCACATTCCAAGAGTGTGTGATAGTTTCAGTTTGCCCATGTCTTCACTAACAGTTGGTATGGTCAGTCTTTTTAATTTTAGCCATTCTAAACAGGTATACATTAAGTACCTCACTTGGTTTTAAGTACTTCCCTAAAGTCTAAAAACATTGACCACTTTTATATATATTTATTCGCCATCCTTCAGTCTTCTTTGGTTAGGTGTCTATTTCAAGTATTTTCTGACATTAATGCACCCAATTCTCACCTGCTGCAGGAGTACATCAATTTTATCTGTTAGAACCTGAATTTTTTCTTCATTTTTTCCCGTTGGGCCAGCTGCCTATTAAAGAAAACAACATGTATTATCAACAACTAAAAAACAAAGATTAATATTCAGCTATCACACAATACACAGTATTTGTATTATTAAAATGCTGAATCAATGATGGTAACTCAATCTGTTAGTCAATTATGTATTTGTCAGTTACTGAGATTTTTGTATGACTAACATTATTATTTATTAGTATCAAAAAAAGAATGCCTTTTAAATTTTGTGTCATTCTAAAAGAACACAATATAATGAATGAATCTGAACACAAGCTGCAATACCAGAGAGGTCTCTGGGTCTCCAGAGAACAAGGACACTTTACAAAGACTGTAAATTAATTACACTCACCCCAGAGGACTGCTGGTTTTGAGATAATGCCAAACGAGCGTGGCCTCGTCTAATTCTACGTTCTACTTCTGCAAGTAAACTCTGTAAATATCGCAGAAAATCTCTCTCGTAGCCAACTTTCATAAATCGGGAACTCTTCTCATACCTGATAAAAATAAAAATACACAAGCATTACTTTCTTCCCAAATTTTATCTACTGCAACATACATCTTCTATCTTAGTTAACCTCACAGACGGTTTGCATGTAGGCAAAAGAGTAAATCACATGTATATGAAGTGAATTTCTAGCTGTCCCTCATCCTGATAAAGGAAAGGCAGTATAGTTGACCCTTGAACAACATGGGTTTGAACCACACAGATCCACTGACTTGTGCATTTTTTCCCCCAATAAATATACTGGAAAACTTGGGGGAGTTTTTGCAATAGTTTGAAAAAACATTTTTTTTCTCTAGCTTCCTTATCATAAGACTATAGCATATAAGGTTATATATATGTATACCTTGTTTTATTGCACTTTGCTTTATTGTGCTTTGCAGATATTGAGATTTTTACAAATTGAACATTGTGGCAACTCTGCTTAGCAAATCTCTCAGCACCACTCTCCCAACAGGATTTGTTTACTTTGTGTCTTTGTGTTACATTTTGGTAATTCTCACCATATTCTAAACTTTTTCATTATTATTCTGTTTGTTATGGTGATCTGTAATCAGTGAGTACAAGTTGCTGAAAGCTCAGCTGATGGTTAGCATTTCTCAGCAATACAGTATTTTTAAATTAAGGTACATACTTATTTTTAGAAGTAATGCTATTTATTGCACACTTAATAGACTATGATATAATATAAATGTAACTTTCATATACTTGAAAACCAAAAAATTCATCTGACTCACTGTATCACAGTATCTGTTTTACTGCAGTAGTCTGGAACCAAAAAACCACTATCTCAGTAGTATGCCTGTAATATACACAGTATGGGTTAATTGACTGTTTATGCTATTTCTAAGGCTTCTAGTCAAGAATAGGCTATTAGTAGTCAAGTTTTGGGGAAGTCAGAAGTTATAGGCAGATTTAAAAAAAATTAAAAAAAGGAAAGAAAATAAATCCTCCCATTTGCAACAACATGGATGAATCTAGAGGGTATTATGCATAGTGAAATAAGCCAGGTGGAGAAAGACAAATACTAAATGATTTCACTTATTTGTAGAGTGTAAAACAACTCAAAACAGAAGGAACAAAATAGCAGTAGGCTCACAGCCAAGGAAAAGGGACTGACTACTGGTTACGAAAGGGAAGGGGCTGGAAAAGATTGTGTGTATGTAGCAGGGGTGGGGGGTGGGGGGTGGGGAGGGATTAAGGGAAACAGTATTAATTGGTAATCACAATACAGGTTGGTCCCAAGGATGGTAGTACAGCACAGAAAATACAGTTAATGATTCTGTAACATCTTTACTATGTTGATGGACAGTGACCATACTGGAGGTAATGAGGACTTGACAATATGGGTATATGTTGAACCACTGTGTTGTATATTTGAAACCAACAAAAGATTACATATATCAATGATACTTTATTTAAAATAATTTTTTTAAGTTACAGGCAGTCCTGTATTAATTCATAACATCATAAAGTTGAAAGAATTTAAAAAAAAGTCATAGGCAGATTTTTGACTGTGCAAGGGGTTGGCACCCCTAACTCCTACATTGTTCAAGAGTCAACTGTAGTTACCATTATGTTTGGTTAAAGAGCATAGATTTCATAATCAGGCAAATAAAATCTTGGCGCTTGGATACCAGCTATACCACTCTACTGGATCTGTGACTATACCAGGACAAGTCGCATGTATAAAACTGGGACTATTAGAAAACAAATGTGGTAGAGAAAAAAAGCTTAGGCTTTATGCTTGACATGCACTCATATGGAGGTTAACAAAATCATTACGAAAGCTATATGAATTTCTACCACCCACAGCTAATGAAGAGGACCTCTATTAGACATTCATTTAATATTAACTTCAATTATTTCTTCAATCCTTGCCCTCTTTGAACCCGATAATAACTAGAGGGGCAAAGACACCACCAAAATATAATAACTTACTGCTTTCGTAGATTTTCATCATGTATTTTTTCACATGGTCCTGAAATTTTAAAAAGAGAAAAATATGAATGTTTAATTTGACAGAGACATTAACCTTTTCTCTTGCCAAAGGGAAGACATTTCTAAAAAAGGAAAAAAGATCCATTTTATCACTTAGTAGTCTGCAGACACCTAAATTGAGCCTAATGAATCATGAAGCAACATGCTCAAGAAAGCACACAAAATTGTTCCCCTTAGTCTTCAAGATCAGTATAATGGAAAACAACTACATGGTATAAAAGGAAATAGAAGAGGGAGGAGGAAGAAAAAAATTGTTTCTATTGCCACCAGAGAAAAAAACTGTTAAGGGCAGACCACTGGTCTGAACCATCACTGACATTTTATTACTTTTGAGTTTGCACATGAAGTCATACAGTACAGTCAGTTGATCCTGCAGGGGGCTGCGGTGCCAATTCTACATAAAGTCAGAAATCTACCTCTATTTAACTCCCAAAAACATTACTAATGTAGCCTGTTAACCGAAGTCCTATCAATAACAAAGCTGAAAAAATGCTTTATATGTTTTATGTATTACACATTGCATTTTTACAATAAAGGAAGTAAGAAGAATTTTTTTCAAATTGTCAAAAATCTTCAAAATTTTCAATATATTTATTGGGAAAATCTGTGTTATCAGTGGAGTTCAAACCCATGTTGTTCAAGAGTTAACTGTTCAAGACTAGCACCCTAGTCCTACCCCTTCCTAACTCCAGAAAAGCTGCCACTTTTTACCCTTTTAGCTTTTTCTTCTGGAATTTACTCCTCTATTTCTAAACTGCTTTTTTTTGGTTATCTAAGACATCAAAAATCATTGTTTTTATACTGTGACTACTCAAATACTACTGACAGCTAAGCAGAACAAAAGATGCATTATGATGGCACTTCTGTTGGAATCTGGTCTTCCATGTATCTATTTACAAATTCTTCTCAAACACTTCCACTCAGCTACAGAAACTATCTCAGTATTATCTTCCCTCAAGATTCAAAATACATCAATCAGCTTCATTTTCTTCCATGAGCTTTCTGTCCTGCTTATTTTCTAAGCTCACTTTATAGAGTTGTTATCCTGAGAAAAATTCCTTTTCTGGACTGAACTGGACACAGTCTACATGTTTCTCTCCTTGTTATGCCCATGTACTGGTGGAGCTTTCAGAGAAAAGATTGATGGGAGATAAATTTGCTGAGACCTTGCATCTCTTAATAGGTCTTTTTCACCTTCATACTTTGATGTGTAGCTACATAGCTAGCCTAAGTAAAAATGTATTTCACTCAGAATCCTGACGGCATTTCTCCAATGCCTTCAAGCTTCAGCATTGTTACTGACAAATTTGAGGCCATTCTGATTCATCCTGTGTACCCCCCCTACTCCTGATTCTGAAATCTCAGTGGCGTGCCTTAGTATGATCCTTTTTCATTCACTGTGCTAAGCACTTGAAGGACCCACTCAATCTAGGGACTAACATCATTCACTACTGTAAAATTTTTAATTGCTCCCCCAGACACCACCCCCCCCGTTTTCTCTATCTAAAACTCTTAATCAACTACCACAGCATTGGACTGATACAATTTTTTCAGATTTTAATCTTTTCTATCCTATTATCCAACATTCCAGCAAATTTATTTATTTCAAACCCTTCTACTGATTTTATTTTAGATTTCTCCAGTTCCAATTTCCAAGAACTATTTTTGGTTTTTCAAGAGTCCCCTTTTTTATACAGCATCCTATTCTTCCTGATTTATTTCCCTGAAGATACTAGATTCAGTCAACACGAAAAAAAATTTTCCTCTGCTTTCCCCATTATTTGATTCCACTTAATTCTTTCTTTCCATTGGTTTTTTGGTTGATCTTTCGTGTTGAAGGTTTTCTTCAAATATCTGACTGGTGTGCCTGAACTGGCAAAACATTTCCAAAATCTGGCTGGAAGCTGGTATGCACTGCAGGGTTTGTCAGCTAATGGGCTTTACCACAGGAAAATCAGGTAGAAAGACTTTCTTTTAGGAGATTCCCCAAGGGTCAGTACCTGTAGATCACTTCTCAGGAACTGTTCACTTTCTCTAAAGAATCCTCTTCTCTTCTGCCTGGGGAAAAACATCTGGCTGTATCCTTCTAGGAACAGGGCAGAGGAAGGGAATGGGAAAACCCCACTATTAAGAATATAGTCTTGTTTAATCTCTCTTACAGTCTCATTTTTACTCATTACTGCCCTGTGATGCGTTTGGAATCCCAACTGCTAGACTCATCCAGCCCTAATGTGCTCCCACCTAATGCTCTAGAGAAAGCATTTTTAATTCACTAACATCTTTGTTTCTAGAATGATACTAGTTATATACCATCCTTGGAAAAAGAAAATAATGTTTTTTGAGGGTTTTTTTTTTTTTCATTTTGTAGTTCAGATGAACTAGGCTCTTTAGCCTAATTTCTCCAGAAAATCACCTAGTCTCCTAGGTGGTGAGAGTAGACTCACCAAATGCACAGGTCTTAACCACTAGACTAGTCACTCTCGGTAGGGGTTAACTTTGCCCCCTGGGGACATTTAGCAGTGCCTGGTGACATTTTTTGTTGTCACATCTGGGAGGGGTGCTGCTGGCATCCAGAGGGCAGAGGCCAGGGATGCAGTTAAACACCCTACAATGCACAGGAGAGCACCCACAACAGAATTATCCAGCTCAAAATGTCAAATGCCAAGGCTGAGAAACCCTGAACTAGACTAATCTGTCACTTTCAGCCCCATGACTCAAGTCTGCCTCCTATATACCTGCTGCCTCCAAATCCTGAGCCTGTCCCGGGTTCTGCTCATCAAACACTGGCTTCTGTCTCCTTATGTGAGTGTTTAGGGCAAAGGTTTCTCTGCTCTGTTTAGTTTGCTACTACTCTTCCAATCACTTGTTTTCCAAATACGCTGACATTTCTAATGTTATCTCCTCTTCCATTAATTTAAATTTTTCATTTTAGTGGAGGGGTTTCAGGAAAAAGTAGCAATACATGTGTACGTTAAGCCACCGTGTTTTTTCAGCTCGACTGGCACTTATTAATATAGTAAAAAACCTAAGCCAGGAAAGAAATTACTTTATCAACAAACCATTAAGAGGAAACCTTACAGAATTATAAAGTACTAGTTTATTTTTCAAACATAAATTTGGTAAAAGTTACATAGAAAATTCACTTACCAAGATCAGAACGAGTGTTTGTGAACAATTCCGCAGGACAAAAACCACAGAGATAATATTTACAGACCTAGTAAAGAAAAATAAAGGTACTTAACTTTTTAAAATAGAGATTTTTTTAAAGACTGGTTTCCAAATAACTATTTCCTCATTTCTTGATCCTCACCTTTCAACTAAGTAAGCATTAAAGCAATTTCATTTGTTAAACCATACTACGTAAATTAGTGACTTTTGGACTCGTGGATTTCAGTAAAAGATGTGCAGGGCTGACAGAGTTAATTATTTTCAAGTGCCTACTTTTTTCTAATCACTGCTCTGAGTATCCCCACCCCGAACAACATGGGAAGGGCCTCCGAAAGAATAATTATTTTAAAAAGGACAAAAAACTAATGTTCTTATCATTCTAACTTTTCTAAAGAACATAACCAGTTTATAGATTAGGATTTGAGGATCACTGTCTAAATTACAAACAACACTCACTTAAAACAATCTGGTTTAGTATTTTTGCCTAAGAGATCCTCTGACAGAGGACAATAATAAATGGGAATTCATCCCATGCTCTTGAGTAGGAAAAATTAATATTGTCAAAATGGCCATCCTGCCTAAAGCAATCTACAGATTCAATGCAATCCCTATCAAAGTAACAACAGCATCCTTCAACAAACTGGAACAAATAGTTCTAAAATTCACATGGAACCACAAAAGACCCCAAATAGCCAAAGCAATCCTGAGAAGGAAGAATAAAGCAGGGGGGATCTTGCTTCCCAACTTCAAGCTCTAGTACAAAGACAGAGTAATCAAGATAATTTGGTACTGGCACAAGAACAGATCCATGGACCAGTGGAACAGAATAGAGTCCAGATATTAAAGAAAGCATATGTGGTCAATTAATATATGATAAAGGAGCTATGGATATACAATGGGGAAATGAAAGCCTCTTCAACAGCTGGTGTTGGCAAAACTAGACAGCTACATGTAAGAGAATGAAACTGGATCATTGTCTAACTCCATACACAAAAGTAAACTCGAAATGGATCAAAGACCTGAATGTAAGTCAAGAAACCATAAAACTCTTAGAAGACAATATAGGCAAAACTCTCTTGAATAAAAACATGAGCAACTTCTTCATGAACATATCTCCATGGGCAAGGGAAACAAAAGCAAAAATGAACAAGTGGAACTATATCAATCCAAAAATCTTCTGTACAGCAAAGGACACCATCAGAACAAAAAGGTATCCTAAAGTATGGGAGAATATATTCATAAATGACATATCCGATAAGGGGTTGACATCCAAAATATACAAAGAGCTCATGTACCTCAACAAACAAAAAGCAAATAATCCAATTAAAAAATGGGCAGAGGAGCTGAACAGACAGTTCTCCAAAGAAATTCAGATGGCCAATAGACACATGAAAAGATGCTCCACATCGCTAGTCATCAGAGAAATGCAAATTAAAACCAAAACCACAATGAGATATCACCTCACACCAGTAAGGATGGCCAAAATCCAAAAGACAAACAACAACCAATGTTGGCGAGGATGTGGAGAAAGGGGAACCCTCCTACACTGCTGGTGGGAATGTAAATTCGTTCAACCTTTGTGGAAAGAAGTATGGAGGTTCCTCAAAAAAAGAAATACCATTTGACCCAGGAATTCCACGCCTAGGAATTTACCCTAAGAATGCAGCAGCCCAGTTTCAAAAAGACAGATGCACCCCTATGTCTATCACAACACTATTTAGAATAGCCAAGAAATGGAAGCAACCTAAGTGTCCATCAGTAGATGAATGGATAAAGAAGATGTAGCACATATACACAATGGAATACTATTCAGCCATAAGAAGAAAACAAATCCTACCATTTGCAACAACATGGACGAAGCTAGAGGGTATTATGTTCAGTGAAATAAGCCAGGTGGAGAAAGACAAGTATCAAATGATTTCACTCATCTGTGGAGCATTAAGAAGAAAGAAAAAACTGAAGGAACAAAAACAGCAGCAGACTCACAGAACCCAAGAATGGACTAACAGTTACCAAAGGGAAAGGGACTGGGGAGGATGGGTGGGAAGGGAGGGATAAGGGCGGGGGAAAAAGAAAGGGGGCATTACCATTAGCATGTGTAGTGGAGGAGGGGGGCACAGGAGGGCTGTGCAACACAGAGAAGACAAGTAGTGATTCTATAGCATCTTACTACGCTGATGGACAGTGACTGTAATGGGGTTTGTGGGGGGGACTTGGTGATGGGGGGAGTCTAGTAAACATAATGTTCCTCATTAATTGTAGATTAATGATACCAAAAAAAATGGATTAAACCATCAGCATTGGTAGGTAATCTATCCAGATACAAAGAAGATATGAAATTCGAGTATTCTGAAAAATATGGAATGAGCAACTTCAGGAAAACAATGCTAATATAAAAACTGTGATATATTAAATTATATTCGACAAGTGATTACAATAAGAATTGGGTGATAATAAATAAAAAAAACAGACCCGCCCCTTTTTAGCATTCGTATTCTCAAGGCACTATCAATTCTGGACATCAGTTTAGACCACTTCCAATCACAAAAGTAAAAGAATATCTTATTGATTTATGTCTTTGTATACCTACTTGAATACAACAACAGACCATGTAATTCTTTCGTGAGCTAATCAAATGTGTTCAATGCTGCCTGCATTATTTTTGTTAAAATACTTTCCCCAAATCAGTTGAATACCTCGTTTTTCCTTAACAAACAAGGCCACCTATTTATTATTTATGAGGTAAAGCCTTCAATTAAATCACATGTAAACACATACACCAGCAAATATAGGTCCCCAGTTAAAATTTAATGGACGCCTTAAAGAGCTTCCTTTGGTATCTTAAATTATCAACAACCTTGGATAGGAACTTAGTTTCACTAGATAACAACTTGTATAAACAAGTCAAAGATAATGCATTTAACTCAATGTTTGATTACCTAAATACTGGCATTTAAAATTCATCATCTTGGCAAGAGTCAGTCTGGTATCTGATGACAGGGACTTCTACTTCAACTGTCATAAACATTTTTTCACCTAAAATTCAGGAATACCTGGAAATTTTAATAGTTAAAAAAAAAAAGTTCACTCTGTAGTCTTAGCACATCCACCATTAATAGTTTAATTCTTACTAAAAAAGGCTAAAAGCAAATGTGTTTTAGCCAAAAGCTGAATTCATCTTGTTTAAAAAAGACAAACCCCCAGAGAAAAACTTGTATTTATTATTTTGTAATTTAATCCCTCGTAACATCTATTGTTTTGTTTCAGCTGTACCATGATCACATTACAGTTGTTCATTTCCGCGCCTTTTATTACATATACCACTGCAGTCATGATCACTATTGCCAAAACAAACTTTCAGTAAAATTTTGATTTTCCACAGCAGCCAGACACCAAACCTCTCTCTCTTGCTTAGAAGCCTTCTATTCTTTGCCAACGTAATTTAGTCCAAACTTTTAACAAGGCTTATAAAAACCATTCAAAACCAGATTCTTGCCCATCTAGCTACATGCCCCCCCATCAAAACAAGGACTACAACTACATTAAGCTACTTTCTCCACTTGTGAAGATATTAAATCTAAGTATGTATATATAAAATTACATACACACACACATATATATACATGGGCACACATTTTTTCCCTAAAGCAATCACATAATTAAGTTACAGTTTAACATTTTCAGGGTGACTATAATATTATCAGTGTGGCAACATTTTTTCCCAAAGTCTTTACATTTTAGATAGATATGTCTTTAAGGCTGGAATGACAGAACTGCTACAAATTAATGGAAGCAGTAGGGTATAAAGAGGAAATAATACTGGCCACATGTTAATTTATTTCATGTGGTGCATGGGGACTTCATTACACTATTTGCTCTACTTGTGTATGTTTTGGAGAGAAAAAGCAAACAGCAGTTACACACACACAAACACAGACTGCTGGCAATTCTGAGAAGCCCAACTCTTAACAGGAACTGAAGTTAAAGCAAGAAATTCCTATGCGTCTGACAGAAAGCACACACTGGTATTGAAATTATCTAGTAAAATACTTAAAACAGATGTTATGCACTGTAATGACTAAATTTCTTTGCTTCCAATTTTCCTTTCCAAATTCTGAATCCGTTTAGATAGAAAAAAAAGTTCACAAGTAAAAATGTGGATAGAAGCCTTAACTGCTTCCTTCTCTAAACTTTCAAGTGTCAATGACAGTATTTGTTAGCATTCCGAAGAGTTCATGTAAAACCACCTAGTTCTATTCCCTTCATAAATTATTAAACATTCACTGAACAGAGAGCATACAAGGAATCTCATTTTAGATATTAGAATCTGAGTAAGTCAACAGTTAATTTCACTTTTGGACTGAGATCCACAATGTAAAAACCTCAATATAAATACAAAAAAAATTACTACTATATAAATAGCAATAACAGCTCCAGACCAGACAGTACAATTCCCTAAAATCTAAATCACTCATAATTTGAAGGATACTCTAACATAAACACTAAAATCTTGCCCTGTGGACACTAACTGAAAGGTGTTCACACAAGCAGTTAAAATCATATGCTTTCTTCATTGCTGCTGTTACATAGTGTTTTACTTGGATAAAGAAAGCAAAGTGTTTAATCCAAAAATACTAATAATCTCAAAGAAGTATAAAATATTAGTAAGCAAAGCAGGAGGATGTGTCAATGAATCCTTGGAGCAGCATTAAAGCTGACTTGACTCGCTGAAAGCTACTTTCTCTCAGATCCAGAGGAAGGGTCTACAAACTGGCAACAACGCCTGTAGAGCACTAACCCCAGAGTAAAAGCACTTTCCAAGATACAACCTTGATAGAGGTTACATATACTTCCTGACAAATAAATGGAAGGTCGATAATTTGCACACAGAAGCATCCTTCGGTTAAAAACAAATTTCCACAAGTGCTATTCACTCATAATAACCCAGGAGTGGTAAGAAAGCAGTTCACTAGTTTTCGAATACATGAGGCCATTAAAAAGAAGTGCAGATTTCTGGGGCCTTCCCCCAGACCTACAGAATCAGAATCTCTGTGGGGTGAGGTACAGAAATTTGCATTTAAAACAAATTCCAGAGGTCAGTCAGATACAGACTTCTAGGAAATACTTTCAACACTAAGATAAAGTTTCCATTCCACTTGTTAAACAAAACAACCCCACCCAACCAAAAGGCTTTTCCCATCTAGGGCAAGAGTAACAAAGAAAAATTTCCAGATAGAATAAGAATGCAAAAATATTTTGAAATACCATGTTACAGTGAGGGTGAAATCCTTACTCTATATGCTTGGTTTGTCCATTCCTCCAGTATTTTAGCACTAACAGCCAACGGCATAAGAATATACAAATGACCCGGAAGTGATGCTATGCTCTTCCCAGTTTCAGTATATCGTAGAGTAATTCCAATTTATTCAGAAAAGGCCATGCGCTTTGTTCCTGGTCAGCACCAACTGAGCAGGAACAAACTTTTTCAAAAAACCAGTAACTAACTTTTTCAAATGCCTGAATCTAGAATGAAGTGCAATCTGTCATTAAAGCCATAAAAAAATTTTGGTGACAAGCAGTGAAAGTTTCAATCAATGAAAAGCACTAAAACTGAAAGGAAAGCAGATTTATCATAGCTAAGATGACATAAAACCCGAGTTGCTATTCCGAGTGCCTCACTGCTAATGTTATAAACCCATCACATATAATGCAATGTCGCAATAAAATACGACCAGGAAAGCAAAGTTTCTTCACACGTGTTCAAAACCAAGGAAGCACCGACACAGGCTGCTCCCGTTGATAAGGAGGCAATCAAAAGCAATTTTCTATTCAATTCAAAGTAGATAAATGTCCTATTTGCACTTCAACTGAATCATAACGTTCTTTTATTTTTTGCAAAGCGTAGATGGAAAGATTACTAAGTGGTAAAAGAAAAAGTGACTTAAAAGTAACTTCACTAACAAATGCTTAGAAAAGGAAAGAGTCAAGACAAGCAAAAAAAGCTCCGTCTCCCGTTTTGACGAGAGAAAAAAGCCAAATGTCGGGGGGAAAAAAAAACCACAACAGAAAACTTCTAAGTTTCCAGGTTAATAAATGTGTGAATTTGACCCCAATGAATTCTACCATAATATTTGATACTATTTTGGAATCAGGTACCACCCAATACAACTTTAGCCTTAACACTTACTTTGTCAGTTACTAAAAGGGCTCCAACTTGTTCTCCTACACTGCGAAACACTTACTTTTTCAGTTACTAAAAGGGCACCAAATTGTTCTCCTACACTGCGAAACACAAATTTTACTCTAACCAAATCTTATGTTTAAAAAGGATTAGGAACTTTTTTGAAAAAGCGTATTTAGGTGTTCTTTCATATTCTGATTAGCAACTGCTTTTAAATTATGTTGATTATAACCGCAAACCAAATAAAATTAAATTCTACATCTGTTTAGGCAAGACGTAAAATAAACCTTACACTGCAAGATTCAAAACACGTGCAATACATTATGGTATCTGCAGAGAACCAACTGTATAAAACTGGAAAATGAACACAGCTACAAAGGTTAGGTTTAGCCTTGCCATTTAACTTGCCAGGAGACTGAGCCTCTCAAGTCACATCTGTGAAACTGGGGATATATTTACCCTTACTCATTAAGCTAAAGACGATCACTAAGCTAAAGACGATCACATCAGTTTTACATGAAAGAAAAAGCCTTGATAATCATCTACACGAAGGCTTTACTGCAGGTACTGCTATTAAACCATATTCGTAAAGCATCATGGTAAACCCTACCAACTTAAAACCGCTTTTAAAATTTATTTCTCCATATAATACGCACCGAAATTAAACCATTACTGAAATATGCTGCAGTTTTTACAACTAACCCTGACCAGAAAATTTCCGTCTAAATACGACGCTCAATCCAAATTAACGGGACAATTTGCCCTCTTCCCTATTTTATAATGAGGTGAAAACTCTGGAGCCTCTAAATAGATAACATACTCCCTCTCCCTCCTTTCCCTGCCTCCTGAAGGTGCTTTTCAGTTCTCGCCAAGGCCCTCTTTGACTTCCTCGATGCCCAAACAAAAACAAATTGTCCCTTATCCCTGTATCCTGCATCTCCTCCCTCCCGGGCCGCTGTCCCGGCTCCTTCCCGCCACCCGGGTCAGACAGCCAAACCCGGTGCGGCCCCGGCCCCCAACTGCTACTCGGGCCTGGCGGGCCCAAGCCGCGCCACTCCCCTCCCCCACAGCTACGGGGCACAAACCCAAGGCCTGCGGGACTTACGCTCTCGTGGTCCCACCGCACGTTGCTGCGCTTCTCGTCCGGGGCGAGGTTTCGGTCCCGGCCCATTAACTCATCCAACAATTGCGCGGCCGAAATCATGGTGCTTTCCTCGGGCGGCTGCTCCCACCAGCCCTGGCACCCGCCAAAGAAAACGCCGGCGACACCGCCGCCTGTCTCCTCGGCCCGCTCACAGGCCGCAAAGCCTCCGCTACAGAGGAGTCGATAAGACAAAATGGCCGGCGCGCGGGCGCTTTCCCAGTATGCCGCGCGCGCGCGCGCGCGTGCGCCAACAGGGACACGCCCAGCCCTGGGAGGCGAGACAGGCTCCCTTGCGCCCGTCCGAGGGCGGGGCCTGTTGAGGCCGGCCCTGACTCCGCCCCTGCACGACGGCACCGCCCCATGCTGCGCCAGCAGGACCCAGAGACTACGCCCCTGGGTAACGCGTCCCGCCTTCCTTAGTCCAGACTTCTGGAGCTGTTTCACGGTGAGCGGCGGATCGTGCGTCTGGAAGTTTCCTCACCACTACGAAATGGAGAAGGGGCAGTGTGTCCCTTTGTACCACGCTAGGTGCCGTCTTTCAGAAGAGGAAACGAGGTCAGCACTGAGATTCTGTGACCTTCTCTATTTTCCTAGGCACCGCGTTCGCCTTTTCTACCTGGCTTTATTCTCCCGTCCCGATTCCCCTGACTCACAGGATAGGAAAGCAAGGCACGGAGAGATAAGGCGGTTCCTGCAAGGTCACGCGGTGTGGGGAATTCAGTTCTGCACCTGATACCTCTTAGCCTGGAATTCCAAAAAAAATTGTAATTTATTCAATGAGTATCTGCGTACTTACCATGTGTCAGGTAAGCTTTTGATGAAGCTTGAAGCTAAATTCTGGAGACCTTGCTCCCACAGACTTTGAGCATTAGTGGAGGAGCCAGTCCCTAAAGAAAGAAAATATACCCATATAAATTGTGATAAATAGTGACTAGGCAAAAATTATGAAGTGTCCTAAATTAAGGGCCAGAGAATAAAGGAGAGAGACAAGGGAAGGTCATCAGTCAATAACCGCAGGCTGCAGCAAAATCCGAAACTCCATGTTCCTGGAAAACGCATTTCAACAAGCATCTGTAAGGTCCCTAGGACCACCGCATCCCCCTTGTGGGTGATCAGTGTCTGACCATCATCAACAACCAATCTATGAGCTTTCTCTATGGACTAACCTCCTATCCCTGGACTTCCCGAAATTAGTCTGTCTTCCCTAACTGTACCCAAAGTGAATTTAACCAACTTTCTTTCCTTGAGACCCCCCTTCCCCTCATAAATGTGCCGTTTCTTGAGTCTATTGGCAAGTTGTTTCTGTTAACTGGTCGTACTGCCCTTGAAGCAAAAATTTCCTGTCCCAGGACTCAGTCCTTGTCAGGCTAGCACCTGTAAAGACTCAATAAACGCTTTTATTTAAGAGATCCCTTGGTCTCTGGAATTTATTTGTCAGTACTCTAGCACACTTAAGGGTCTGGACTCTAACACCAGATCATCTGGGTTTATAATTTCTGCTCTGCCATTATGTCTTTGTTTTGTTTTCCCATCTGTAGAATGATCCCGCTAAACCACAAGCCCCAAAACCGGAGACAAGTTTGTGAAGCCCCATCAAGATTTAGGATCTAATGGCAATTTCAGCCTCTCCCAGAAGTGTAATTTTAAACCTATCAGCCAGGAATTTCCTGGTCAGTACTGGTGAGGTAATCTGCGTAATAAAACCGCCTGTCTTACCCTAAGGGAAGGAAACCTCCTCTGAAATAATCCACTCTTACAACTTCCTTGTCCCACCCTCCTTCTGAATATAAAATCCTTCCATTTTGTATAGCTCCTCAGAGTTCCTTTATACTTGATGGTGGAGTGCTGCTAGATTCACTTATCTTTGAACAAAGCCAATATATTTCATTGAGTTTTTTCTTAACAAATCCCTACACATACATACAGGATGATATTATTAAGATTAATTGAATCAATACAGTGTAAGGCATGTACAATAGGCCAACACATTTTAAGTTCATTTAGTCATTAACTATTATGATAATGAGGGAAAAGGTTTTATCAAAGAGTACCTCTCTGTGGACATGACAAGTTCAGCCAAGCAAAGTGGACAGAAGATAATTGAATGCAGTGAGAGTAGCATATGCCAAGACCATTTCATAGTAAGAAACTCATTATCTTAAATATATCTAAAATTAGTACTGCTGGGTATACCGGGTGCTCATTGAGTGGCCTGAGGATGCCAAACATTTGAGAGATGCTGCTTTTGACTTGGGTAGAAAAAAAAATGTAAAATGAAAGGGAAGCCAAGGGAGGTAAAAGCAAAATCTGATGAGTATAGAGTCAGGGAAAGTGAAAAAACAAACCAAAGAAATTGGTTTTGAGGAAGATGAAAGTGATCAACATTGTAGGAAACTGCCCAAGGTCTGGTATGAGGAGACTGAAAAGTATCCATTGAATCTTGCAGTTGGAAGCCAGACTGGAAAGGATGGAAAATGAAGGAGAGATGCAGAAATAACATGGTTGTTGAACAACTAATTTTAAGAAAAGAAGCAGTGAAATTGAATGAGAAATGAAAATGAAGGGATGGGTAGAAATGTTACTGTTAGAGGAGGACATAGAAGACAAAAGAAGAGACTAGCTATAAAGTTCTAAATTCTTAAGGTGTCCCGTGTAGACTTCAGGGCATTGTTTGTAACTCCTGGCCTTTGCTGGAAGAAAGGATCTTTCTCCACTGAAAGGAGAGAAGGAAAGGATACAAATCAGTCCGTAGTCGCAGCAGTGAAAGGAGAGTTCTCAGATGATCAGATGATGACTGTTTTCTCAATTAAGCATATTTGAAGGTTCACCACCATCACCACCAAAAAGGAAAATAAAAAAACAAAAAAGGCATACATCTTGAACCACAAACAGGATGATAAAACCTAATGCAAAATTACAGCTTCTGCTTACTAAAAATTTTTAATTAATTCCTGCTACATGTGCTATGTGGTAGGAACTGGAGAGTGACCAGGAATATAAAGATAGGTGTATAAGACCCAGTTTTTCAGGAGCTCCTGATCCATGGAAGACAAAAATGTAACAATAACTTGAAATCAGATAAAATGGAATGGAATGGAACAGAATGAAAACATTAAATGCTTTTGGGTCCCAGAGTCGCATAATCGTTGAGTCTTATTCCATAATTCCCCTTTCCTAGACTCTGAGGGCAACCACAGTGCTGTGTGTATTACCATTGCAGATAATGAATTCATTCATTTATCCTTCATCAATTCGGCCAGCACCAGTATTAGCTGTTTCAGACTCTGCTGGGCATCAGGGACCCAGAGATAAAAGTAGTCTTTGTTTATTTATAACATCACAATGCCCAGTTTATAGATAATGTCTACAGATTGTATGAGTTATTTACAAATGATGAGATGGGAAACAACTTAATCTTATCAGCCAGCAGTCTGCAGACCCCATTCCCTACAAGTTTCCAATGAAAAGTGTTAATGTCAAATTCATATATTGAAGTCTTGACCTTGAGTGCCCAGAATGTGACTGTATTTGGACATAGGACCTTTAAAGATTGATTAAGTTAAAATGAAGCTGTTAGGGTGAGCTCCAGTCCGATCTAATTGGTGTCTTCCCAAGGAGAGGAGATTTGGTTGCAGAAAGAGACACCTGGGAAACACACACAGAGGAGAGACAGTGTAAGGACACAGGGAGGGCAGCCACCTGCAAGTCAAGGCAAGGGGCCTCAGGAGGAACTAAACCTGCTCACACCTTGAACTTCTGACCTCCAGAACTAGGAGAAAATTAATTTCTGTTGTTTAACCCTGTCTGGTATTTTGTTAGAGCAGCTCAAGCAAACTGCCGTAGTCACTATGGGTCTTCCAACCACTTCTCAGCCTCCAGGGAGGCCCCACCTCTCTGTCCCCCATCTGCTGTGGTGCCTCAGTCACCTTTCTAAACATAAATCGGCCGTGCCTCTTCTCCTCTCAGAACTCTTCAATGGCTCCCAATCATCCCCTTTCTAAAATTCTACCACAAGGTCACCCATGATCTGACCTGCTTCTCCAAGTTCATCTGCTACTGCTTCCCCTCACCCTGAACACCCCTACTTCCTACCATAGTGCACCATGTTGCACAGCTCCAGGCATGTTCTCCAGAATGTTCTTCTCTCACCCCTGCTACTCCTACCTTCTTTCTGTGCTCACAGCCCAAGCATCATTAGCCCTATGAAGACAACCCAGACCCTCATTCTCTGCCTGTCACATACAGCCCATCACCCTCTTCATTGTATCACCATATTACAGCCTTAAACATCCCTGTACATTTTGGGGTTGGTCACAGGATATTACAACTATCAGTCTTTTCCTTTAAAGTGAAAGTTCCTTTGGGTCATATGCCGTTCCTTCTTCATCCTTGTATTCCCATATTCTTGCACAGTATGTAACACATAGGAGGTAGATCCTGTTCACTCCTCACCCTATTATAGTCTGCCTGCCATCCCTACCACTCCTTTGCCACTTCCTTCCATCTCCAGGGTCACCATCAATCTCCTTGTGCTCAAATGCATTCTACACTTTGCCATTCTTTCTTTCCTGTCATTTCTGCAGCATCTGACTCTGTGGATCATCTCTTTTCTCCAAACTCTCTGACCCCTTTGCTTTTCACCTGCTATTTCAGTTTCTCTTCTTTCAGTCTCAGTTGAATTTCTACTCTTCTGCCCAGTATTAAAATACTGGGTTCCCTTTGGGGTTCTGTCTTTGGCTGCCTTCTCTAAGGACTCAACACCCTCTCACCACCTTTTGCTGGTGACTACCAAACCCAAATCACCTGCCCAGAACTCCTTCCTTAATCTCACACCCATGTATACAGCTGTTTACTGGGCATCTCCACTTAGCTGAAAATTTGAAAAGTAAGCACAGGCTCTGGAGTCCAACTGAGTTCAAAGCCTTGCTCCATCATTAAGCTGCATAGTGTTGGGCAAGTTATGTCTCTGTGTCTCAGATAACAATAGTCCTACCTTACGGGGTTGCTGTGAGAATTAAATGAGATAATTCATGTAGAACACTTAGCATAGTGCCTGCCAATGAGTCAATGTTAATAGTAGTAGTAATTAAGGAGTCTCAGAAAGCTTAACACAACAGATTCAAAAGTGAATTTATCACCATACCTGAAACCTTCTCTTCGTTCTTTGGCCTAAATCTCAGTAAATGG